AAATAGTTTCATTAAAAAAGATAATATTTGCTTTCAAAAGTTGAAATGGCTTTTAAATCATCTCTACTCGTTTTCTTTAATTATATGGATTTTCAAACGTTCAAAACACATAATATTGGGTTATACTGGAATATAATCGGTCAGAACAAAAAATTTTGCTAATTATTTGCAAACTCACGGCCTACTCACGGCAGCCTTGATCACGGCCTACTCAGGGCAGCATTATTTATAGATTAACGGCAGCATTAGGCATCAGCATTACTTTGTAAACTCACGGCAGCATTACTCAAGGCAACATTACTCACAGCCTGCTTGCATCAGCATTACTCACAGCAGCCTTTTTTTTATAAATTAACGGCATCATTAAGCATCAGCATTACTTTGTTAACTCATGGCAGCATTATTCAAGAAGGCAGCATTATTCACGTTCTTCTCACAGCAGCATTACTTATGGCCTACTCACGCCAGCATTAATCACGGTTTTTTCACGGCACCATTACTCACGGCCTACTCATGGCAGCATTACTCACGGCAGCTTTAATTGTAAATTCACGGGAACATCAGGCATCACTTTGTAGACTTATGCCAGCATTATTCAAGGGTGCATTATTCACGTTCTGCTCACAGCAGCATTACTTATGGTCTACTCACGCTAGCATTAATCAAGGCTTTTTTATGGCAGCATTACTCACGGCCTACTCATGGTAGCATTACTCACGGCAGCTTTTTTTGTAAATTCACGGCAACTTCAGGCATTACTCTGTAAACTCATGGCAGCATTATTCAAGGCAGCATTATTCACGTTCTATTCACAGCAGCATTACTTATGGTCTACTCACGCCAGCATTAATCACAGCTTTCTTAAGGCAGCATTACTCACGGCCTACTCATGGCAGCATTACTCACGGCAGCCTTATTTGTAAACTCACGGCAACATCAGGCATCACTTTGTAAACTCATGGCAGCATTATTCAAAGCAGCATTATTCACGTTCTGCTCACAGCAGCATTACTTATGGTCTACTCAAGCCAGCATTAATCACAGCTTTTTCACGGCAGCATTACTCACGGCCTACTCATGGCAGCATTACTCACGGCAGCTTTATTTGTAAATTCACGGCAACATGAGGCATCACTTTGTAAACTCATGGCAGCATTATTCAAGGCAGCATTCTTCACGTTCTATTCACAGCAGCATTACTTATGGTCTACTCAAGCCAGCATTAATCACGGCTTTTTCACGGCAGCATTACTCACGGCCTACTCATGGCAGCATTACTCACTGCCTACTTGATTTTCTTAAACTCATTTTAAAAAAAAGTTTTTTTTTTGCAAAACGATGTCGTTTAAATTTTTAGCATCCCTTTACTCAGTTTCACAAATAAGATAAGAACAGGTAAAATTGAGCTGTGGCGGTTTGATTCTTTGACGAGGAGATTTAGAGTCCCCTGTCCTCGCCCAAGGGCTTTGCGCCCAAGGGCTTTGAAAATTTGCTGAAACTAGTCACAAAACAAGCAGCTAGGTATGCTAACAAATTGTCAGTGAGATTCAGCAAAAAAAGACACCAAACATTTTTGCAAGTAGACACATTTTTGCAAGTAATTATTTGGAATATAGCATACGGAAGGCACACTAAAATTGCTTGAATTGAATTCGAAATCATAAAACCAAATACTGTACAAAATAAGTATTTCAATAAATTTTTGAGATACTTTCAGTCGGGAAACTTCTAAAATTGAGTTTTTATTATTGTATTGTTGTATGAAACAAACAGTTTTCTCCGGCTCATTTGAAGAAACGTTAAATTTGATCCTTTCTGTGACGACTGCTCTTTGGAATCTTTTGATTTTTTCTCGAAAACTACTGTACCAAATCTGTGTTTATGGATTCAATCGAAGGGACCAGATGCAAATTTAATTCTGCAGAGCGACGACTTCCTAAGTTTTGTTAGAAAACATTTTTTTTTCTGGGAAAATTTACATTACAAAAATAAAGTAAATTTTTATAACAACAAACCAACTTTTGTCACATTAGCTACTAGGTTTCAAATAGCAACTGTTCAGCAATGTCGTCGGACCTCAATTTAGTGAACTGAATTGTTTTTAAAATAAAATTACAATTATTCCAAATTGATCGTTGTTTGTGGATATAACTCTGTGTATTTTGTATTCGAAACTGAGACAAGCTCATGGTTTCAACTCGTCCTAACTTTCAAATCATTTTAAAAAGACTCTGAGCCAATTGTGGTAACGACTAATCTTGAACATAATATCTAGAAGATCTCAATACCATTTGTCGTATTCAATTTTTAAACCTTTTTGTGATACTTGAAATGGTAAGAAATAAAAAAACTATATTTTGATAATTCAAGGCTACTCACCCAATTCAGAATAATTTAGTGGATACCGATGTACGATTACTTCTCAGTTGCGGTACCCCACGCCATGTACATGTTGTACAATCTCTGTACAATCAAATGTCATCAAACGCAGCCAGTCTCCTCATTACCCCACGACCAATCTGATTCAATCAACCAGTTCCTGTTAATTAGAGCCGGTATAGAACGTAGCCCTGTGCCTGCAATCTACACCTGCCCAACCTGTAATTTATGATTAACACGAACACATAGAGGTGTTCTGTGCCACCTAGGCGGATGGGTTCATCAATCGTGCACAACTCTTTGTAGATCCTCGAAAGAGTCCAGACACTTTTACTGCCAACATTTCTCTTACTGTAAAAGTAATCGACCTCTATCTATATCTCAAACCCATCCTAAAACGCAACAATCAAAACAGCAGAACGACAAACGACTAAAACGCCACAGCCAAGAACAACTGAAATGCCTCAACAAAGAACAACTAAAACGCCCCAACCAAGAAACTTCATAAAAACCCTTTCAAGCAACCAAACAACAACAAAAAATCCAACATCAAAATGTAACTAAACGCTAATGGCCTTCGCCTGAAGTTAGATAAAATGTGAACTTGATAGAGGTAAATTATGTCTCAGTGGAAGCCATTCAAGAAACCCTCACACAGGTTTCTACTTAAATACCAAAAACAGAGACCAATCTAAAAA